GAGTCCGGCTACGGCTGCTTATAAAGTTATGTGCTCTTAAGAAAGTACTGATTTGGTTTCTATCCTGCCTTTTGTACAATAAAAGTTATTGCTTGGTAGATGTGGATGATAAATCTAGCAAGGGCCAATTTTAGAAAGATCGCTTCCTTCCCTTCTTCCTTCCTTCGCTCTTATTTTCTCTTTTCTTCCTCCTATTCCTTCCTCCATCTTCCTTCATTCCTTTCCTCATCTTCCTTCTCCCCCTCTTATTTTCTCTTTCTCTCCCATTCCTCCCTCCATTTTCCTTTCATCCTTCCTTTCCTCATCTTTCTTCTTCCCTCTTCCTTCCCTTTATTGTTTTCTCTTTTCCTCCTCCCACTCCTCCCTCCCTCCCTCCATCTTTGTGCCTTCCTTCCTTCCTCCCTCCCTCCCTCTTCCCCCAAATCTGTTACAATTGTGGACATAATATATATTGCTCTACTTACCTGGAAACAAAATGGGTATCATCAGGGCAAAAGGCTACATTTAATACCCAAGATCCGTGGCCACTCAGAGTGCCTGCCAAGTTGGCATGCTGTCTGTGAATTCAAAAAGAGATTCTGGGTTAGAGAAAACATCTTAAAATGATTTTCAGGCTCTTGCACAGAACGCCCCCAAGATCCTTCTAATAAAAGAGGTAGGAACAGACAAGCCCAAACTAACAAGCTATCAATGACAGCTTGTAACCACAGGTAGACTTTTGAGATAGGAGAGAGAGGAAGTGCAACTTCTTGCAAGATCTTCTTAACATACATGCCCATTTCAGGAGTGTTAATTCCTTGGATTCAGAAAACTCAGGAGTCAGGAAGTGGAAATACAAAGGAGGAACAGCAAATAGAGCTGGCTGGAGGATTTATTGAGAAGGGAACAGTAGATAGTGGATTCAACAAAGGCATCACTCACACATCATATATCTTGATGTAGCCATCATCTGACGCCGTCACAAGCAACTGAGAGTCTGGAGAAAACGTCAAGGAACGGATAGGCATGGCGTGACCTGAAGCGCAAGAGATAATCACTTTCTATCTTTGGCTGCTTGAAATGTAATTTGCATCTTGCTCTATAAAATCAGCTGAACTACTTCCCAAAAAAGTTTGCCAAGGGAAGATCCTGCTGGCATTCTCTCTCTAATATTAATATATATATATATATATATATATATCCTCAGAAATCAGAAATTCCAAACCTCACCTTCCAACGTGTGGAGAAGTTTCCCGGTTGCAATATCAAAAATATTGATAATCCCATCGATAGCTCCGCTGGCTAGATATTTTCCATCTGGACTCTAATAAAACAGTCAGAAACAAGTACTGAACCCTGCCCTCTTCCCTTATACCACAAGAAGCCAAGATATTCACACAACACACTAGTCCTCTTCACCTTTTTGCATTTACACAGTATGAAATTTGCTGACTGACCTTGGTTACATTTTGGTTTTAGTCAGCTTGAAAATCCAGATAGAATTATTTGCAGTTCATATTGTTCAAATGGCCTACATGGGGTATTAAGTCACATCCAATTAAGTATGTTTTGTGAATCCACCTACCAGCTAGAATGCAGAAGAGAAACGACTCATACCTAAACTTGGGATCACACAACGTAGCAAGGTAAGTATGGATGCTACCTATCTAATCAGCACATGGGACTTTAGGAAGGATTTCAATGAAAGAAAAATCAGTTGTGGACCTATTAAAAGCGCAAAATACATCCGTCCTGATTTAGATCACACTGCTACATCCAATGAGGAAGAACTAATGGAGACACATCTGTAAATCCCATTTAGGTGGGCTGGATTGATGGTTGACAAAAATACATCACTACTGTGACGTCAGCAGAATTTGAATGTTTCTGGATTCTGGTGTAGATTTTTACCCTGGTTCCAAACACCCAAAAAAAATGCAGTCAATTTATTTCTCTCTCTTAAATTGATGTGCTCCAATTATGAAGGGAAAAGAGGACGGATTTATTTGGAAAATATTTTACGGTACTGACACCCTCACAGCAGTCCCTCTCTCTTCCCTCAGCACTGCTGATGAAACCATTATAATTCAGCGCAAAGTATGAGAGTGATTATACCAGGTGAAAATACACGCTTATTACAAGACAAATCAAGCATCTTACATAGGCGATACTTAGGATGAATTTCCCTCGAGTGTCCAAGGAATATTCCTTTTTTCCAGTCTCAACGCCAAATATGTTGACTTTTCCGATGTGGCTTCCGGTTGCCACATACTGGGAATCGGGAGAAAAAGCCAGCGACCAAGCATCAACTGCACAAAAGGAAGAGAACAGAACTGTGAGATATCCAGTAATGAGTAAGTACATTTATTTCTGTTGTGCAACATTTGAACGCAGGTCTGGCAAGGAAGCAAATCATGTTCTGAATAAGCAAGCCAGAATTAGTAAAGTTATATTCAGCTATTTTAATGAAGCTATATTCAGACTAAGCGTGATTAGTCACGATTAACGTTAATTGGATCTGGGTTATGAGTTCATTGTCTCAATGTGGGCTGTGAATACACATCCCAAAGGTCCTTTTTTTTCCCAAAAGGCAACTGGACTTTCTTGGTTTTTTCTTTGAAAACGTTTCACTTCTCATCCAGGAAGCTTCAGAAATAGACACGGTCCAATTGTCTTTCGGACAGCCATCACCAGGTAATTGAGAATCTCCATAGACTGAATATACCGTTATTCACTGTCCTTTTAGTTATTTACTTATAAATAAATAAAAATATTAAAACATTCACTGTCATAACAAAGTCAGCCATAACCTTTCATCTACTCATTAAAATGGATACGCCACAAGCAAATGACATTTGCTCAGTTCCCAGTGATGGGTTGAACATTACCTGGCCCAGCATCTATTGACTTGATCTGTTTGCCAGTGTCCAAGTCCCAAATGCGGATGTGAGCATCTAATGAGCTGGACGCAGCAACTGTGCCTGTGTGACTAATGTCCACAGAAACAACACCCAGCTGATGACCTTCTAAGGTCCACTTGAGGTCCAGCTTCTCGTCATTCCTTGGAGAAACAAAAAGAAAGCATTTTTTCCCTAAAAAAGAACAAGTGGTATACCTATCAATAGTTTTCCATGTGGTGTATCTAGCAAGGCTTCCTAAAATTTCATTCTTGATACATACTCAGCTCCCAAATCATGTTTTCCTCCCAAACCTGGAGGAACACCACAGGTAGTCCTTGACTTACGGCCATTATTGAGCCCAGAATTATGGTGTTAAGTCATGACAGTGATTAGAGAAGCAACCTAGAACTAAGGAGAGATTTCCTGATGGTGAGAACAATTAACCAGTGGAACAACCTGCCTCCAGAAGTGGTGAATGCTCCAACACTGGAAGTTTTTAAGAAGAGACTGGACAGCCATTTGTCCGAAATGGTATTTCAGGGTTTCCTGCCTGAGCAGGGGGTTGGACTAGATGACCTCCAAGGTCCCTTCCAACACCATCATCATCACCATTATTATTAAGCACATCGCCCTGTGAGCCCACCTGATTTTACAGAGGTTGTTAAGCAAACACTGTAATCACTGAGCAAATGCTACAGTCATCAAGCAAACACATTTTCGCCACTGGGTGCTTTTGGCCAGAAATTGGCAAAAAAAATAAATACCAAAAATCACAGTCATGTGACTGCAGGACATTGTGAATAGCTGTAAACGAGAGCTGGTTGCCAAGCACACCAAATGCAAATCCCGTGATCTCAGGGTGTGTTTGTGTGCGCCTTTGTGTAAGGCTATCAGAACTTTGAAAACAGGTCATAAATCGTACTGGGCAGATCCATGAGAACTTCCAGTAGTCTCTAAGTGACAGGTTGTTAAATGAGGAATAATAATGATGATGATGATGATGATGATGATGATGATGATGATGAAAGGGACCTTGGAGGTCATCTAGTCCAACCCCCGCTCAGGCAGGAAACCCTATACCATTTCAGACAAATGGCTGTCCAGTCTCTTCTTAAAAACTTCCAGTGTTGGAGCATTCACCGCTTCTGGAGGCAGGTTGTTCCACTGGTTAATTGTTCTAACTGTCAGGAAGTTTCTCCTTAGTTCTAGGTTGCTTCTCTCCTTGATTAGTTTCCACCCGTTGCTTCTTGTCCTGCC